CTTTTGTCTGAGCTTCTTACTGTTAATAGAAAGTTGATCGCTTGACAAGAACAATATACGTGGCATGTTTTGTAACTGTAGGTAAACGAGCAAAGTTAACAATTTTATGTGTCCTTTTTTTAGTCATTAAAATTATTTTCCTCGCCACGGCCAAACCGTTCGAGATATTCAAAAATCCGTCCGGAATTGAGCATCCTCAATGTCTTGACTTCATGCACACCGAGTATGGTGGTGATTGGTAAACACATGCGTTGTAATTTGATGTATTTCTCCTAGGAGATTTATTCAAACAAACACATAATTCCCAACTTCCATTTGAACTGTCTTAAAACTTAGAGCAGAGATGGGCGCAGGTCACGCAAGTCTCAAGTAAGTCTCAAGTCTTAACCGTCAAGTCTCAAGTAAGTCCCAAGTATTTTTTTTTTTTTGGGGGGGGGGGGGGGGGGGCAAGTCAAGTCAAGTCAAGTCACAGGCTATGTCAGTCAAGTCAAGTCTTGTAGTAGGTTAAGTCAAGTGCAAGTCAAGTCACCTTATTATTTTAATTTTACATGCAGAATCTGATCTTAATAAAATGAAAAGACAAGATAAGTATTTGCCAGTAAATTACAATAATTTGCATTGTAAATACTCATGTTCAGTAAAATACACCATGGAATCAAACAAAATTGTAACTTCATAAAAATTTATTATTTTCACTTCTGCCAACAGTGTGTTTGAAATGTTTTAAATTTTCAACATTGAGTCCATAAAACAAATAACAGCTTAACATCCTACAGACTCTCTGAACACCTTCCTCTCTCTCAAACACAGTTTACAAACAATATTAAACTTTGTTACACTCTTCTCTCTCTCTCTCTCTCTCTCTCTCTCTCTCTTCTCTCTCTCTCTCTCTCTCTCTCACACACACACACAGTGGCGGTTCTAGACCATTTCAACTGGGGGGCCAAGCTGGGGCCAGTTGTACTGTTAGAGGGCCAGTTACATTTAGACCTTATCATTTTCTGCACTGCACTGAATGCATAAATAAGCAAAATACCATGTTTATAATTATCCAACAATTTGCATTTCCATTATATTTTTACATTTGCATTACATATATCAGTCTGTATTTGAATTTCCATTTTATTTTTTTACATTGATATACAGTATATGTATATATATATATATATATATATAATATATTATATAATAATTTTTTACAAATTAATCTACGATTTTGTGGGGTTTTTTTTTGCAAAAAGATCAGCAAATTATCCTCTAAACTGGCCTTTTTAGGGGCTTTCCTCTCAGGGTGAATGAGCTTTTTTATAATTGTTTTTTTTCTGACATCTTTGAAAGACAGAAGCAATAATTAATGCATCCTTGGCCAGGATATAATTATAAAATATGACATGATTTTAAAAGTGACCTATAATATCGACTATGCAATACACTTTAATTTATCTAGTGCTAATAAAATTATTAAGCCTATTTGGAGAGAGAGATGTTTTAAAATCGACTATGCATTACACTTTAATTTATCTAGTGCTAATAAAATTATTAAGCCTATTTGGAGAGAGAGATGTTTATAATGTGACAATATGTCAGTCATCGTGATTCGTGTAATAAGATGACTAGGCCTAGACTACTTGTTCTGAGCAGGTGTTGTCAGTGAACAGGCTGTAAAACTGTTGTCTAAGTTACAGACTGATACTAATTAAATGGGAAACGAATCGATTACCTAACGTAACCTCGGTTCTCTCTAGATGAGGGAACGAGCATTGCGTAAGCTAGCTTACGCTACGGGAAAGATTCATCTTACATCAGTCAAGTTGTCATAGTTTTTGTCAAACAAGTTGTGAATTTGTTGTAACATTAAAACAGGAGATCATGACTTACTCCGTGCTCCAAGTGATGTTCGGAGCTCCAGTGATTAGTTTCATCTGTGGGACGGGTGAAGAAACTTTCGGAAGATGTAACAGAATCATATGAACAATTCCAGGATATGCTTTTTTTCATTGGTTGTTGCGTTAAATTTTACCCAGATACAATAGTGCCCTTTTCTGATTGGCTATTAAGTAGCACTTCTCTTTTTTTGATTGGCTGATGCGTAGCAGGGTCGACTGCTGAACTCCAGGCGAGACGCGCTTGATTCTCACGTGAGAGCGGCGCGGCCAGAGAAATTGCGTATATTAAATATATTATTAATAGTTTTTCCGCATGAGAAATACAATGTGTGACGGGAGTGTGAGACAAAAGACTGAAACGAGTGACTGTCATGCTCAATGCGTGACACACTATAAAAAAATATTTCACACTGACTCCACATTTAGGGGGGCCACAAGGGGGTCCAAGCTTGTTGTCGCAGGGGCACTGGCCCCCCCAGGCCCCCGCCTAGAACCGCCACTGCTCACACACACACACACACACACACACACACACACACACACTTTCTCTCTCTCTCAAGAAGCAAAAACATGACTGCTAAAGGTTGTATCAGCGATGGCGGGGTAACATCACTTAACATCACGAGTGATATTCCCTTAGGCCACGCCCCCTTGTCTCCCCAAAGTATTATAAGCAATCATGCGCATCCCGTGTGCAGAATGATGCACTTGAAGCAACACCAAGTCACAGCACGCAACGCTTCACATTGAAAAGAACATAGCGAAGGGATGGTATCTATAATCTATGCTTAGTAGGGCTGCACGATTTGGGAAAATGTCATATTGCCATTATTGAGCCAATATTGCAATTGCGATTTGCGACTCCGATATAATAAAATGGTTTCATGAGTCCAACTTGCTTGGTTCTAAAGTAAAATGCACACACAGATTAATGTTTATTTCTCAACTCAAACTAAAAACAACAACAACAACAATAAATGATTGATAACACCTATAATGATCAATAAACCATCAACCAAACCAACATTACAGTGATTCCATCAATTGAAAGCCATCAACTTTTAAAAAATTATTAGGCTTAAAAAAAATATATAACAGCTTTTAAATTAAGTGAACTTCAAACAATCCCCACATAAACCCATAATAAAAAACATATTTACCTGTGCCCTTCCTGTCTTAACAGGTACAGAAATTGAATAAAGTTATCAAACAGTCTGCGCTGCCTGAATCATAAATTATATATATAATAATCCTTATTAAAGCTACAAAAGTTCTTTACTCAAGATCAGTGAGTAATTTTCTAATTTCCCTTTGTTCTTTTAACTTTACTGAAAGAACGCTTTATTCGCTGCTGGCCCTTTAAGAGCACCCGTTGCCGAGACGCGGATCTCACACGCGCCTCATAGCACAACTCTTTCATCCATAGACTTTTCTTATGTTATGAAGATACTAGACAAAACCACATTTTGGCATAATTGTGTGTGCTATTGTTCGTTCAAGCTCGAAAGAGAACTGTTTATTCTGGGCTGGCACACGGTCAGTGCATGCGCATTATGCGAGTCTCATCTATTCTAATCTAGGGCACTCACAGGCAGCTTTTCACTTCTTGTCGTGCAAAATGCGAAAAGGCATTTGAACCAATAAGAGGGGGATCTTGTAACACTAGTCAAAGGATGACAAAAAAGAAGAGATGCTGCGCTAATAGCCCTACTTTGTTTATTTCATATAAAATCGCGGCATTTTGCGTTATATAATTGCATAGGTTTGAGATCGCTATTACGACTGCGATATAATTAATCGTGCAGCACTAATGCTTAGTGTATTCTAAAGGGCAATAAACTCCACTCCAGCAAGATAGTCATTTTATGCAAATCATAGACCTTTATGCCTTATCTACAAATAAAGTATAATATTGGGAACATTGATCTTGAAGAGAGTGTCGTCGTGTTACTGTCGCAACCGAACGCGACGCGCTAATGCTGATGCATGGAGAATGACTGAGGCGAGATGACTTTCCGTTAACTTTAACTTAGAGACTAAAATATTAATTTTACCACACATTAAGCTATTGAATGACTTTAGAAGTCTTGGAATATAGTGTGAAAACTTGATTGTGCTTTACAGTTTTTTATGCCTTTAGTGGGGCTTAACAAAATAACACAATATGCAGAATGTCGGACGTCACTTATAGGCTAAACTGTTTTTATAGATAAAACTATTTACATTCGGCAGTCATGAAAACAAATCTCAGATAACGGTTGACTAGGTAACAATGTGTAATTTTGCGCCGGAGTTCTCCTTTAACTTACATTAGCTAGCTAACTACGAACGAGCTAACCAGATAACATTAACAAATTGACAAGCACTTACTGGGCAGAATATGGCTCTTCAAATGACGGACGAAATTGGAGGTTGTCATCTGACTGTCCGCGATCTTAACGTTGCATGTCTTGCAAAGCGCTGTTCTTTTGCCATCTTGTTGTAAGAAATTCTTGAATCCAAAAGCGACCCTCGGTATCCCTCCGGCTGACATGTTGATGTGATCTGATGTAAGTGGGCGTGGTGTGCGCGTAAGGTATGAGAGGGCATGACTGATGA